CGATCAGACCGGCTTTGCCTTCTTCCACCTAATAGTCCTGGGGACATAACAAACTCTCTAGGTAAATTCTTTCGCAAATATCACACAAAAGCCTATTAATCTTGGAGGGCGATCGTTGATCCCTAAAGGATATTAGTTTACATATAAAGGCAATTTCAACCTCAGTGGCCTTCATCGTCGGCTAAAACCGGACATATGAAACAAAGGAAGAAAAGTTCTGTTAATTTACACTCAATGGTATACCTACGATTGCAACTGCCATTTATGGTTAAATTGTTTGTGACTGGCCTGACAATATGTGACCGTGTGTCGAATGCTGTGCATGTGATCCCGGTGACCTCCGCGATGCCCCAGTTTGGACTCTCCCCGAAGAGTGGAAGTATTTTTCGCCTAAAAAAGCACTCCTACCCCCATTAAATTCTTTCCCAAGAGTGAAAATTTTTCGTCTAAAAATTTCCAAGGAGTATTTTCACTGCCTGTTCTCTTTTTTAACTATGTTCCAGCTCAATAAGTCATATCAATTGGCCTCACCAACCAACTGAGATACCATTGTTCTGATACTACGACACACACATACAAAAAAGGGAACTTACACGTTTTATCTCCCTGTCATATACTGATACTACCCAAGCAGGTACATTTAAGTGACATTGATACAATCTGTCAACAGGCAAAGCGCCATAACGGAGAGGAATTAATAAAAGTTTTCCTTTCTTTAATCAAGTAAAAGTTGGACAATATCGACGGGGAAAACCTACTTTGTCATCAGAAAAGTTTCGGAAAAAGTGCACCAAACTTCATATAACACTGACTAATGATGAACATTTAATGGAAGTATATGTCACCATCTGCTTTTAACCTAATTATGCCTCGAAAGTGCTATATATGCAATGGTTTCCATGGCCAAGCATCACGTGCTTTCTACTCGTGCAATAAGAATTTTCTAATATTTGGCGGTAAAGTTTGATTGAATAAATTGTATTTTTTTGACTCAGGAAATAGCACATGTAATAGTTATTTTGTGTTTTCATTAAAGTAGACATTGGTTATGTTTACTTGGCATCTTGTAAGATAAGAGTGGACCGGTTTCATATTCGTTAGGGGTTTCCCCTTAATTCGACGTATGTCATGAATTAGGTCACATACTTTGCGTTGAATTGCGATACACGTTTTATCAGGCGAGGACATTTATAGAGCAATAGGGTCAAGCAAAACGTGCCATTAATTAGAATAACTAAATAAAATCTAGCTTAAGACACACGCGGGTGTGGACCTGTGAGGCAAATGTCGTAACAAGAAAAGCCGAGGGTTATGGGGAGTCAGGGTGGGAGAAGAGAGTAAGAGGTAGAAAGTTGCATGCAATTAGAAAAGGTAAAAAAGGTAAAAGGTAACGGCAGAGCTTGTACGAGGTCTACCTGCACACACGCGACTGCTTTTCCTATTCTGATGGCCGCCAATTCTGCTGTTGCTGGCAAATTGCTGTTTGGCGGATAACGGTAGTTCGGCACGACCTTGTAAATCACGGAAAACCCATGTCAGTGTCCATGCTGTTTATGTCCCGTATTTCGCCTTTTCCAGACCATGCCTGGAGGCCTTGGTTGCACTTTTACCAACCATATAACCTGTTTCTCCAAAAGCAAAGACGTAAATGCATAGGGTGATGGCGACATATCCATACAGTTTTGCGCAAAATAGGACTGACCGAGAAGAATATCTGAACCGTAGCTGGTAAGGCAGTTCCTGAGAGGAAACTCGATAAATACCTCTTTGTAGGCGTTCACTGGCTACGTCCTCTTAAAAGAGGACATTGGGGGATAAAATATTTTTTGAGGGTTAGGGTACAGAGTTATTAAGCAGTCTTCTCAAAATACTCGTTAAGCAGGTCCGAAGTTCCACGCCGTCGGGGTTGTCTGTCAAAAAACTTTGTGGATCTTTGTGTTGAACAGCGGACGTGATCGCACTTTTGCTGGGGAGGGGGAGGTTGAAAATCGCCGAATATTGTTTGCTGACTATATCAGAGGATCCTTTTAAAAACCGACCCTGCCTTTGGTTTAATTGCCAGAAAGGGCATACAAAACTACATTAGGCAGGCAGCCTCCATCTCTCACTTGAACCTGGTTGATGGAAGTGCCTGCCCTTTTAGCAGTACTTTGCTTGTTGTTACCATTATGAAGCGCGACATACTTCCTTTTTCATTTAAATATACTCCGCTGAAAAGTTTACTAAATCCAGACCAATGCTGACCAATTAGCATTTGGGATATAAATAACTGCAAATTACCTATTTCTTTTTATTAATTTTCCCGATTGCTATGCATAAGGCACCTTCCTAACGTCACTTACCGTATGCCTGTTTACAGATTGTGCCTATTTGTGGTCTCTGTTTGAGAGCCGCACAAAATAATAATATAATTCTCGATCTTATGGTATTTGTACATTTTCTATTTAGTATGATTATCACGCACTTTTACAATTTCGATTACTCAAAATGCTTTATCTCAGTGCTTTAGATGATATGTACCAGAGGAATTACCGGCTAAGGGACTTAGCGTCCGTAAGCATTTTATCCCAATACCACTTCTAGTTGAAATAAGGTGCTGCGAAGGAATTTGTCCAGACTGTACAGGTTCAAATGAGTGGCAATTATAAAGCACAATTTCAATGAGAAATAGGCAAAACACGGATTTTATTTTTTCTTTGTTGGTAAATTATAGCTGCACAGTAAAATTGTAATTGCCGATACAAGGCAAGATGTAAGTTCCAGAAAGTAATTGAGAAGAAGAGGATTCGACCTCTGGGACAACGCTTTTATTCTCTTGACGGTTCGATATCAGTCGTAGATTCATCTTTAGAAACATAAGCAGAAACTGGCAAAATATGCACAAACTTTTGCAGTTTTGATAGGACACAATCACCACTGCAAATATATAGCGATACTTAATGGTAATTTCTTTCTTGTGCGTTGATAACTTCTTGACCGGCATGCAGGCTCTGACTTGCTGAACTTCCATCACAGGTGGTGGACACGGGCGTAGTGATTACTCGGCCACCTAGCCGCCCAGTGTTGGCCTAAGATGACGCCGTGGACTGCCCGTTCACAAAGTGACGACTTGCTTCGGCCAAAGTGAATCTCAGCACTGAATATGGATTGGGCAAATTGTTGCACTTATTTATGGAGTGGGGGCCCGTGAAACATGACTCATATAATTTTCTGCTCACCCGATTGTCACTTCACGTGATAATTTCGGCCTCATCAAATTTAAATGTGTGGCACCGTCCCGTCGAATGAGCCGCAACATAGGAATCGACACCACTTCGCCGCACTGCCGCCGCGTTTTCGGCAGTTTGCCTCTAGAGAAGTCTGAATGTTTCTCCGACACAGTTGATTTGTCCGCAATTATACCAGATCCTGTAGATGACAGCAGATGTTTCTTGCCATCGCAGTGCGTCTATTGGTTTCATTATCCGACGCCTTATGGTTGCCTCCGGTCTGTGTGCAACGCAAATTCCAAGTGGTGCGAGAAAGCGGCCGACGGCCCTCAAGACGTTTTTGACGTACCGGATCGTTCGCCAAATTTGTGGTCGGTGCGATTTTGTTGGCCATCGTGTTTGCGCAAGCACTGGTTGACGAAGTTGCGCGAGTACCTTTTTTCTCTGAAGGCCCATCGAAGATATGTTACTTCGGCAACTGTGTCTGTTGGTTCGCTGCAATGCGTCTCAATACGCCAATAGAGCGTCCTTACGTAACTGCGTTTGTGGCGGATTTGGTTGTTGCTGTTGTAATTCATTGGTTGCACTTTGTATGTCGCTCTCCTGAATAAGTTAGTTCTCAGGTCCTCATAATCCTTGCCACAGACGAGGACGTCATGGAAGCCAACTGGTTGTCCTCTTCCTTTTCCATCGTAAAATTTATTTCCGGGAAGACGCTGTTGAGAAGTTCGTTGAACGTTAGCATCTGATCCCGTTCGATGACGATGCGCCCAGAATTTCAGTCTGTGGTGTTGGAAGACCAGCGACACCAACCGTTGAAGGACCGCCTCGTCTATGAGTCCCGAACTCGCTGAACCTATTGGAAACCACTTCACCTGCTCGTAGATCGTTCAGTCGAATGTTAAGTAAGTCCTGAGACCGATGCTCAGGACCTGTAGAATCTGGGCGTGATCGAGGAGATTCTTCATCTCATCGTATTTGCTTCGTAGGAGTGGTACGAGGGCCTTGACTGCCAGACCCTGGGGAATAGAAGTAAAAAGAGACGTGACATCGAAGGAAGCCGTGATATAACTTGGCAGGGAACTTACTCCTGTAAGTATTGATGAAGTGCCCATAGTCTCCAAATCAGTGCTCAGAAATTTGAGACGCCAAAACAGCCACTTATATAGTTCGTACGTTGGAGTGCCTTCCAGGGATACGATGGATCGGCGAGGAGCACCCTTCTTGTGCGCCTTGGGAAGGCCATAGAAGCGCGTCAAGGCCGTTTCTTGTGCTCCTGCCGTGCGTCGGTCTGACGGCGTTATTGCATCCCAATTCGCTGATGCCAATTCTCAAGTTGCGGCTCATTCGACGAGACCGTCCACACATTTAAACTTGATGAGGCCGAAATTATCACGTGAAGTGACAATCGGGTGAGCCGAAAATTATTTGAGTCATGTTTCACGGGCCTCCACTTCATAAATAAGTGCAACAATTTGCCCGATCCATATTCAGTGCTGAGACGCAATTTAGCAGGAGCTGTAGCGCCTTTTATTTCTCGAAATGGACAGATTTAAATAAGCTATTGGTTCGGTAGTACACTGAAACGCTCATATACAGTTAGCTGTTCGTAGGAGTTTATTAAAAACATTGCAGTAAGAAAGGGGGAATTTAAAAACAAACCCTTCAAATCTTTGAAATTGATTTTTACAAAACGTTTACAAGTTTCGCGTGTTTGTCCTATATGTTTCAAAAAATTCCACCAAGCTGGTTTTTTTAAATTTAGACACACATACCTTTGTCAAGCGCAAACACTTTAGATGGATAAATACAACCGGTAGAATTCAATTACCTTCGAATGACTTTTTAACATCTGCACATTTTACAGATGTTTCTCATGCGGCCTCTTTAAGTTTAGATTGTGTAACGTCATACCAGGGTGGAGAACAACACTCTTGCAAAATCGAATATGAATATCTTGCAGTGTTCATTGTGTAAAAATATGGATTCAACATACTGACATCCAGGCGAAGTTTATCTATGGCATAATATCTTCTAAATCAGGCATATTGTTTGTTAAGCATTCTTACGTACAAATTAAAATGGGAAATGTTTCCAGTTATCACATATGAAGTCCTTAAACAATTCCAAAGCAGTTCAATTAGAGATTTAAACAGGCAAATTATGTCATCGCCATTCGATAGCAACCCAATATTTTTATAAACCTAACACTGATATTTTGCGTCAGTCAAAAGTAATAACAAATTAAAAACATGCGAAACACCTACTGACATGCCCGTACATACTGCGATTAGTTTTATCTACGTTTAATACTCATTTATTAGTGTTTGCCGATTGATCGTAAATGTAAAATGGCGCACCTCTTTAAAATGACGGGGTTCGGTAAAAATAACAACCACAAGAGTCGACATTGGGACACAGTGTTTAAACATTCACTTAACAAAAAAGTTTATCCCAATTAGAGATTTAGCGTGAGAAATTGCAGTGAGACCAGTCTGTACTGCACAGGAAATACTGATGGTCTTGTGCGTTTAGAGTCACTATCCATATAAGGATCACACGAGTTGGAAATTAAACCATATATGATAATGCACTAAGTATTGCGGTGAGGCGTTCATTTGTAGCTGGATTAGGACATAAAAAAACCAATGCGTTGGCTCAATAGCCAGATAAATCTATCTCTTATAACCGATGCGCATCTAACAATAATCACAGATAAGGGTCGGTCGAACTGTTTTGCTAATATTTGTTGCGCAAGAATGCATGCTTTCAAAACAAATGATGTGTATTTTGAGAATTCTAAAACACGTGTTTTAGGTTATAGCCAAGAATTCCCAATGTTCGAGTAAAGTAGCACAAAGAAAGCGCGTAGTCTTAGTTAATTTATAGACCTAATGAAAGTTTTCACATAATTCGGTCTGTTGAGTATGCAATCAGTCTTTCAAGACGCTTATGACAAATTTAAATAAACCTAGAATTGTTTCTACACTTAATAAAGTCCAACATGTATAGGTTTCACGAATAGCACGGTTTGGTGCCATCCTTCGGGAGAATCGGGATCTAATAAAAAAACATATCCTGCTGACAAAAGAAAAGCTTAGTGTTGTAAAAATACCCATCACAAGATTCATAAGCCCAGCTGGTGAACATATGCGTGGGCTGTATCTCGTTTAAACTAGCTTTTTAGATGCCACGTTGAAAATTTTGACTTATGGGGAATTGCTTACATATATGCTTTGACAGTAAGAAATCAGTCTGAATTTAATAAAGGTATGTAGAAATTGTGTTAAAAAGGACGTGCCCTATAATTAATAGACTGAAATCTGCGTAGTCCCTACATTTTTCTATGAATGCGAGAGTAAAACAAGCTTCTCCGAGCAGAACCTGCAACACAAGGAACTCTATAATTTGGTCGTCAGCGATGTAAACTTTTTATCATGTAATTTCGTTCGACTGAGACACACAAACTACAATTACATATAATAAAATTTATATGCCTAAAGTTTCGAGGTGTAGATATGCTATCACGTTAATTGTCTCCCAAATTAAATTAAATTTAAATTAGTATAACTGACTGCTTGTAAATTCGTACAGAGACTTCCTAACTGAGCTGGTATCAAGAGTGTTTTCAAATAAAATAATTATAGATTCTATATCCTATGAAAGGTCAACTAAAATTCTGAAATTCGTTTTCATTTTGAACAAAGTCTTTTAGTTGAGTTGCTATGCTGATTATCGTACAGCTGCTTCTCAAAATATTTCAATTATACCAGGATGACGACTTTACAGCGAGCTCATTATGGTCGCCCGAAAAAGTATATCCTTTAGAAACTGACTAATTAATTATAATACATCTTTCTTATTGCCTTTCACTGTCCTTATATGTTCGAATATATCTTATACAAAACATGCGCAAAAATATTCTTCCCCGTGCTCGAATGGTAAAAGACCACGCCTTCTTCAAATGCAACATATCAAACAAAATTATCTGTCAATTTTAAAAGTTGTGTTCTACATTGCCTAATAATTCTGCCGCCTACATGCTATTACGCTGTAAAGATCTTAAAAGCACATATTATACACATAACCTCAAAAAAAGTACACGATTACCAAAGTTGTGAGGATGCGCCCCCAAAATTCTCATAATATTTTTTAATGGGTGTGGACGAAATACAACAATCTATAGGCAACCTTAATGCTTGGAGCGATAAGCTCGCTTAGGAATGGACGTACCAGGATCGTAAAACATTTAATTACAGGCAAAATTTTGGCAACTGAAGAATACATTTTAACTATTAGGCAGAAGATTTAGCAATACTTGCGTAATGTTCATCAAACTGCTTACAAGAAAGGTATTCTTGTGCGTGCTTTCTGCTAAATATATTAAGTTTGATAAGGATTTTAAAAAGATGATAAAACGGTATACTGCTTGTGCTCCGAAATCAGTTCGTTGAATACCATGCACTTGCCGTTTCTGCAATCAATTAAGATAACATTGTACGGTAAACAGGTTTATTAAACATAGCAAATAACAATTTCAACTCGCGAACGAATTTCAGAATTTCGGTCGACGTTTCATGAATTAGGAAATCTAATGTTCTTATATTCTAGAATAGCAAATTTAAGTGCTTACGCACTTTCAGGTAAATTGAACAGACATACGAAACCTAAAGTACAGTTCCTCTGAAAGGAAATACGGATGGTTAATATTCCGTGAATAGTTATCGTGTCTAAAAGTTATCCACAACTCACGATGTAATGCAATATAACGCAAAACCCTTCCCAGCCATATACTATAAATAACAGAAGAATGATATGTCCTAGACCGAGACATTGCTTCTGAGAAATTCAACTCATTTTCCATATTTATGCATCTAAACTGTTTTTTTTTTCAGTGTAGCACATAAATATAAACGACGGAGGATCACTCTAACGTAGTTATTCAGCTGAAAATTGATTTTCTAATTCATTTAAGCCATTTAAGTTTACATGAATAAGTGTACTTTGTCCAAAAAAGGTAATTTCTGCTTTCAAAATCCAATTTTCAAACATGCAGGCAAAATTAGCTTATATAGTTCCACGCATCTACCCCTAGGCCCAGCATATTTTCCTATAGAAACGGTAGTTAAAAGGTTTCGGTGGGTGGGACATAGGATAGGCAGAGAAGGTAACTTTTAGAAGTAAGTGTAAAGTGAAAAAATGTATTCGAAGTTGTTTCCCGCGGCCGCTGGGAACAAGTGTTCCCACATGTAATTTCAAGGTGAGCACTGCGCTTCGCGCCGCGCGCTATACTAATCTAACTCCAAAACGGTAAGTTGGACCTCCGTTAAGTTGAAGTAGACGACCTCCTAAACACCAATTTTATTTGTCGTGAATTTCAAGAAACCTGCAATTTGATAATTGAGTTTATACGCAGTACGCTAAATGATAATACAGATTAGGAAAATCTGCAGAGATAAATCAACAACACTTCCAGATACAAAAAAATAAAATACATAAAGCAGTTATCAAAGTATATTTCACTGCGTATCCTAATTTTTCACCCACAAAACACTATAAACACTGTTTTCGTAGGACAACATGCTGGAATTAGGGATTAAAGAGTGGGGCTATATAAACAAATTTTTCCATTTGCTATAAAAGCCAGTAGTTGTGTAAATATGTTGTCTCTTATCTTCATACAGATTACACTCAAATGAACACATAAATATACCATAGGAACAGTGGAACTTCCGAATACAATGTGGCAATTTGAATACGCTTAGGCACTTCATTTATGGCTTTCTTTCCACCGGCGCACACTGGACCATGAAGCCCTAAAAAGATGTGAATCACACAAAAAGATAAATGTTTTGCTTGCAACACCGAAGTTGTAACTTACTGTCAGAGGACTGCGTCAGCAATCATGTGTTTTAATTATATTTTCCATGATTTCAATTGAGGAGCACAAATTCCCATCAGAGAATTCAGAAGAGTATTTGATTAGTGCACGTATACTTTCGATAAATCCTCGTCAGGCAAGTACATTTATATGGGCAGGGGTATAAGTTAAACAAGCGATCAATAATGTTCGTCTTTTCTTACAAGCGAGTCGTGGGAATCGGGGAAGAGGTCAATAAGAGAATGGTGGTTACGTGGAGAGGGCTTGGTAGAGCCCGTCTAGGGGAGGGAGAGAGGGAAGGAGGGAGGGATGGGAGACAAACGGAACGCGGAGGAGTGCATGCCGCTAAGTGACTGTGGGCCACGCCAACTGCGGAGCTTGCACGAAGTTCTTTTGTGCACAGAACGCCGGCTTATGCAAACATGGTAGCGGTCACTTCTGCTGTTGCTAGCAGGCGCTGACCCAGGGAGTTTGGGTAGTTTGGCGGGACCTTATAGATCACCCTAAAGGCTTCGTTGGAGTCCACACAATGTCCGGAGTCAACCATGTGGGCTAGGATGGCGCTGTTGATGCTTTTGACTTCACCTTTGCTCAGCCATGCCGAAAGATGCTCCCGTATTCTTTTGGATAGGCGCCGACTCGTGCGACCGCGTAACCACCCTTCACTTATCGACACCTTCCTCGATTACCACGATCGCTTCTAAGAAAAGACGAACATTATTGATCGCTTGTTTAACTTATACCCCTGTCCATATAAATGTACTGGCCTGATGAGAATTTATCGAAAGTATACGTACACTCGTCAAGTAATCTTTTGAGAAGCATATCACCTATTTTGATATAATTTATAACATGCCACAGGTAAGCAATTTTAGTGAATAAAGTTTTAATAGATACATATCATTTGATCCATAACGATTCTGTTAAATCAGATTGTGGATACGTTATCGTTTTCGCAGATAAGATTAACTGACTGCGCTAACCTGCAAACAGAGCGTTGAGCAACAATTTGCAGATATATTAACATCTGCGAAATTTTTGCATGCGTAAATACTTTCATAATGTATGGATGGTTAAAGACCTTCAAGAGCGCTGACGTGATGGATCGCCATTATCAGCGGGGATTGTTTAGACTCAAATTAGTCCATAAATATCATAGCTAAAATTGTAATCGAAATTCTGAAATTCACTGGTGATGAGAAATGATTACATCATCAAGCAGCCTAATCCCAAGAAATTTCGGTTACGGGACGATACTGTTTGTAAATGCACCCGCAAGAAACATACAGCGGTGAATGGTCCAATTGAAGGTTAAGCTTTGTATGAATCTGATTATATTGTACACGTATCATGGAGAAAATTATCTTCTCTTCTTTTCCTTTCATAAAACATCGTGCATTTCTCAAATATTATATCAAAATGAGCTACTATTCCATCTTGAAAGATCAGATACTTAAAAATATCACGAGGAAGCTCAAAAGCGTTTGCCTAAATATCCGTCCATAAAACTATACTAAACTAAATTTACTCGCTCCGCTCTGCCTTAAGGCTCGTTCTGGAGCTCAAAAGCACAAAGAGCAAACTGAGTTCTTTAACCGATCAGTGAGCGCCTATAAACCATATATAAAAATCACAGCGACTTTCTTTCCTTACAAAGGACTCACCGTGGACAGTGACGTCGGCTGAGGAGTTCTTAAAGCGCATTCAGCACCTCGAGGTAAAGGCAGACGAGGAGGTGGTGTCATTCGATATGATCTTGTTTTTCACCTCCATCCCACCTGCACTGATTATCAACACTATCGACGGCCTTCCTTGTGAAAAATACGACGAGACCGAGAACCACCTCAAACGAGAGCACATCATCGAGCTCCTTGGATTGTGCCTTAAGACCTTTTTCACCTTCAACGGCCAGGTGTACGAGCAGAAGAAAGAGACACCAATGGGCTACCCTCTGTCTGGACTCATTGACGAAGCAGTTCTGCACAGGCTTAAACAGCTAGTCTTCAACTCGGACCCCCGAAGTTCTGGGTCCGATACGTCGATGACACATTCGTCATACTAAAGAGGACCCACGTGCAAGCTTTCAAGGCATCGGTGAATTCGATCTTTCCCGACATCCCGTTTACCATTCAAGAAGAAGTCAACAATCGGTTCTTCGCTTGTATTGGCAAATCGGTTGTCCTTCCTTGACGTCCAAGTTACAAAACTGTCGGACAAGAGGATAAGGACAACGGTTTACCGCAAGGAAACTAACACCACGTGCATTCTTCACTTCCAAAGCAATCGCCCTATTGTTCATAAACGCAGCTCCGTCAGAATCGTCTGCCGACGTGTGTAAACGTACTGCAGCGACGACACTGGGAAGCAAGAGCAGAGGAAGTACTTGTGTGCCCTTTTCAAAGTCAACGGTTATCTAAAGTCCTTCATCCGCAATTGTCTCAGTAAGCCCCGCGTACATTTGTCGAGCGAAGAAAAGCCAAAATTTTGGCTCGCCATCCCCTATGTGAAAAACGTTTCACAGGCGACAGCGCGACTCCTAAAACCTTTCGGGATCGGAGTGGCTCACAGACCTGAATCCACACTCGGACAGCAAGCCAGGAAGCCCAAAGACACGCTGCCAGCAATCGAACAATCAGCCATGGCCTACAGCATAGCATGCACGACTTCACCTTTGAGAAAGGGAGAGTGATCGGCAGGGCAAAGGAGAAAATGGCCTGACTAGTGCTGGAAAGTTGGTCCTCCACTGGCACAATCAACAGAGCTATAGACTTGAGCCTTGCCTATCAGGCGTTTCGCACAAGGCTTGGATCAAGTCGGCCAGGGGCAGCAGGGCAAATGAGTTCCTATAATCGAAAGCCTACAGTGACGGAAAATAGGGGTGAAGGTCAGAGGTCACGCGACCAACATCAAACACTGTCTCACTATCACACCGCAACGCGAAGAACAGCTCAAGTGGTCAGCAACGAGAAATCAGTCCATCGGTTGACGTGGGGAAAACCAGCAAGCATATTGACTCGCCTACAACTACGCTGACCACGAAGGGTACGAAGGTCACGCAAGCCCACCAGCAGCCATTGTCTGGTAGACCAAATGCCGTCGGCAACGAACGGGCAGGTCTAATGTCGCGCGTCCAGCACGAATATAACACGCAGCAGATGGAAAGGCTGGCTAACCCAAGACCACCAGAGGCAGCAAACACAATACTCTGAAGATGGAAACGAGAAGGGTTCCGAAACGTCAGTTAAAATATAATGCGGTCCATGAACCCACCTTTGGGAGATGATGAACGCGATAACATAACTGGACCCCCGAATCTTTCGGCATATAAATATCATTCCATACGCTAAGGATGAGCTGGAAGTGCGGCCTGTAAAAGAAACACGTTATTGTCTACAGTCTCCCGAAGAGTTTCTTCTTTCTCTAATATATGAAGTTTGCGGTTCAGGGGACTGATATTTATAACTGCAACTTTCTTTGTCTGATATTAATCACTCTATGTAACGTTTGGCCATTCAAGTGTGATAATACATTGATATAAATAATGCAGCAACTACGGCTCTCGGAGACACAATAAAACACATATTATTCAGGAATTAACTAAAAGGAACGCCCAAGCCATGCGTTGTTTACCAAACAGTCAGTATTTCACTTAGTCTCCATAGCATTACACTGTTGCTATACAACCCATGGGGCAAAGGGTTGGGGCTGTTATTCATAAATTAACCATTTCTCTCTTATTGACTTCCAGCTATCTTGAGTGAGAGGTATGGCTTCTGTTTATAGAGGATTCTGATAGATGTATATTCGGACGTATTTTCATAATTTTGGGTTCATTTATGTGTCAGGAAATATTAACTGCCTAGCCAAGTAAACGCCCCATCGGAGCAACACTCATTTAAATTGATATAAACTGCGACGGCTGCATGATATGAATGTTAATTTAGTTTATTTTTACAACCAGAATATTTTTGTGAACTGTCGAAATCACCAACAGTGTCACATGTGGGATCACTTCCCAAAATAGTCTCCAAGAAGGCACATGTAAATACCAGAAGACCGTCAACATGTCCACTATGAGAGTTAAGTTTACTGTTCGGTTTGGAACCGAGGTCACGCGTTGTAAGATGATTACTTTTAAAGTAGAGGAAACTCAACTTGATCGTCAAATTTAAGCAACTAAGACTCAAAAGAACACATTTTATTTAGTTGAAATCCCATTGACGTAAATTATTAACCCCATAGAATGACCAATAAACATTCTGGACGGCCTATAGAGTTCCGCGAAATTGAATGCATAAAAACGTGTGCAAGATGCCCAAATGGAAATAAAGACTCGAGAAATAACGGCCCTGAGACGAACCTATCAGAAGTGCAGGCAAGCATCTTTCATCGCGGTGATGATACGCAATATGAACGGCATCCAAGCCACTTAAACATCTGTACTAATGCTGTGACAGTAACAGAGTAAACAGAGGCCAATAAAATTGGCCAGTCATCAAAACCTCTGATCGATATTTGGCAGTTAACGCTTGTAAGAAAGAGGTTAAGAAACTCTGTAACTCGGTAAGAAACTCTACGTTCTCATATTTTTCTCCGGAAATCGTCACTTTTGCAAATCGTCACTTAATTCGGCTTGTCAACACCTTTTATTATCCGACAGGATGCAAATACCTCTAAGAAGCCATTAATTCCACAACAGATGCACATTTTATTAGCTCAGACTCGTTAAACTCCAATTCAAAGGGGAAATTCTGTGCCATACACCGCCTTCTTGTCAGATTCCAGATCACTGTTATGTCTTTTCGCGGAATTGCATAAAGAGTTATATCAAAATATTCAACTGCTTGGCGAAGCTTCGACGTCAATAGATCGACCATTTTAAAATGCAACTACAGTTTGACTAAAAATATTCTCGAGAAAATGTATTAAAACACAACAAAAAGTGACCTTCCTTGAACGTGATGATTTAAGTAAGCTGGAAGCAGCGCACACAGGTATATTTTGCTAAAATTAACCCTATTACATAGTTAGATGTTAAATTAACCGTCAAATACTATTCCATCTAAACGCAAACGATAAAATAAAGACGCCAATATTTTAAAAATGAGATGATGAATGCTTCGTTAGTAAAACAAAAACGTCATTCGTAGAAGCCTCTTAGTAATCAGCTTGTTCAAAAGGTACCTTAAATATCCCGCTAATCTGTTTATATTGTTTGCAAATTTTGATAGGTAAGACCCGTAGACTCCACTTAAAATTGATGTTTTATCCCACACAACGGTATCTGATTTACAAGAGGAAGCTTTTTCTTCGAACGCCCATAACTATTTATTTTTTGCCATAGAATTTGGCCTATTGATATTCAGTCCAGCTAGCGCGAAACAATTAATAAGGTACACATGCACACCATACATAGTCAAAACCTGCCCTGTCTTTAATCAATATTATTGACGATTAACAACAAATTGAATGTTTTAAGACGAAGAGTAGAATAGCTGGTCACTGGAACCAATTGTGAAGACTTGCATTAATGAAAAGAATTGAAGAAAAAAAACAGATGGCTTCTCGACTTTGTATCATGTTGTTATTTAAAAATATCAATGGTAAAATGGTTAGTTTATATTTGCTAAAAGTACGGCACTAATTAATTTTATTTTGCACAAAATTCACAATTGCAGATACCGTTTAGATTAAATAGTGGTTTTATAATAGTATTGTGATATTGTTTTGAGTATGTAGACAAATTCCTAATAATCATTATTTCTTCATACGAAACACATTGGAAAATATGGCCTTGTGCATTATTTAATTATAATGCATTAAGAAACTAAAATAACATCAACACTCTTTCCAGTAATAGGAGCAGTTAATAATTGTCGAAAACAAATTGTGAATGCTACAATGATTATTTTTTGGCAGAAAATGCGGAAATAATAAACAGTTCTCCAGACGTGCGCTTGGAGTGCCCTCAGTAGTCGCTAACAAGCAGCAACTTTCGCTTTTAAAATAAGGCAAAAGCCAGATCATTATAAGTCAATTCACCAGACTCATGTGATTCCATCTGTACGAAAAAGTTGCATGATAAATAATGGTGTACCAGCGATTCAATCCATAAAATCATTTAGACTATTTTGCGCAGATTGATGAATAGGCTTTCAACTAGAAAAAAGACTTTAAGTTGTTTTTTACTTAAATATATCCGTTCTTGTGTATAATGAGACAAAGTCCTTCGGGCAACTGGCTGTGTGATGGACACTATTGGGTGACTTTCGCGGTAATTAGTGTAGTGTGATCATGGACTTTGTTCCCATTTAGCTTATTCCGAGGGTAATGGTAGGTTTATTCGGTAAGGGCGATTGCCAAATCCAACTCCCCCATCTTCACAGGCCACAGCACATGGTCTCCTCACGACCTCCCGGTTTTTTTCACCACGCGGAGGAATAACTGCGTGCATAGAATTACCCCGTCAGCTGGCATCCTCATAGGTTTACTGTTATAGATTCAAGCGGATCCGGTTTATTGTAGTGGACAATGTGCGCTCTCGTGCTCCAGTTTGCTATAGAAGTCGGCTAACCATTTATTCCTAGGTCAGAGTTGCAGAAGCCTCTTAAACAAAACCTGGTCAGCAACTTAAGCATCCGTTTATATCAAAGCGCCACCGTTTCACGTACAAAAATAATGCCTATCTAATTTATGGGGAAATAATGTTCGGGTGGGTTGTGGTGATGGGATTTGGACGGCAGCGTTTCTCCGCAGCTTTTTTGATCTGCATGTCTTAAAATAGGCCAACACGGTTACTAAGTGCCCAGAAGCAGATAGGAATGTGTCGTTTGAAGATTCCTGACATTGGATCCCTAGTCTAAAAAACGTGCTAAGAATGCGCGATTTTAGTAAGAATAGGCTACTGCTATTGGTTTCGGTATTTGGGAGTTTCAATGGACTCAGCGATAGTAAAATGCTGGTGGTGATGGCGGTTTTTGTTCCCGTCGTCGTTGGGTGGAGATGTGTGTGTGCGTGATCGGTAGGGTATCTACAATGAACTCATCCGTTTTCACCGTGGACGTCATCCAAAGTTGCGCCAGTGGTGTTTTTGCAGGCGCCTTTATAGGCAAAAGGCGAAGTTGCCGTATTTGTCTTGAATCGCGTTGTAAATGTCCAGACGAGAGTTACCACAGTCTGGAAAATCTGTC